ACTCGGTTAAGAATATATGAAGGTCATATATTTGAACTGCGGATAAAAACATGAATGAAAGTGATCTTCGCAGTGATGTGCACTACTTAGGCAGTAGTGAAAATAAGGCCTGAAAAAAATTCAGGCCTGTACGGGATTTGAACCCATGACCTCTGCGATACCAGTGCAGCGCTCTACCAACTGAGCTAACAAGCCAACTGGGTTCAAATCCCGTACAGGCCTGAATTTTTTTTTCAGGCCTTATTTTCACTACTGCCTAAGTAGTGCACATCACTGCGAAGATCACTTTCATTCATGTCTTTATCCGCAGTTCAAATATATGACCTTCATATATTCTTAACCGTCTATTCATCACTTCACGGGTTTATTTAGAATCACCATCATGACCAGTTCCCAGTTGGCTCGTTAGCTCAGTTGGTAGAGCGCTGCACTGGTATCGCAGAGGTCATGGGTTCAAATCCCGTACAGGCCTGAATTTTTTTTTTCAGGCCTTATTTTCACTACTGCCTAAGTAGTGCACATCACTGCGAAGATCACTTTCATTCAATTGCTATACTATCGTTTTATAGTTTCATTTATGTTTTAATTACACTAAATCAAGTAGCAAAAATTGATAATTACATCAAACATTTAACGGGGACTTCAAAAACTTTGATAAAGTTCCATAGTTCCCGTGATATATATTTTTTTCTTTTATCTGCAGTTGCGGTTTCGAACTTTAAAGAAGCTGACAAACAAATGTAAGTGCTATATTTTGTAATAAACGACAAAGTTCATCTCGCATCGAGTGTTAAAGATTTTAAGGAAAGGAAAAGATGAGAAAGATGATCCAAATTTAATTCAATCCTGTTTTTTTTTTTATTTAGCGACTGATTTCCTATTTTTTTAATCGTTTATCTTCGATAAACTGAGCGTCTTCGTTACGCTCCATATCGACTGAACACCAACTCCCGTTATCTGTCACGGGGATGTAGGATGTGGGAATGGAATATGGACCCCTATTATCAAGATTGATGACAACAACGTCTCTTTTAAGCTTTTGTTAAAGAAGCTATTGAGATAACTTGGTTAATATGAAGGAGTTTTGAAAAATTTGGCTTAAAGGTGGCAAGTTCGTAATATGCCTTTCGTTTACATCTCCCCAACCTCAACCGCGCCTTTTCCTTGCTGGGTTTCAGCCATCGCATTTGTTTCATTTATCTTTTTACCTTCTTGTAATTAAATATTGATTTCGTGGTCTCCTTTAAACTGAAGATAGATTTGAAAGCCATGGACAAAAGAAAACAAAAGAAGGAGTATTCCTTTTAATTTTTTTTAATGAAAATCTAAGGGAGTCATTATTTTCACGTAACTGCCAAAAAAAAAAATCAATGTTAAGCAAAGATTTTTCCAATGAAACATTTTTTTGTAAGTCCTTTTTTCGACGGGATTTGGCGTTTGTTGATAGTTTTGCATCACGCGGAAAATAATTTTACGGGGCTTATGAACTGCAGGGAACAGAGAAAAAGCTTCTTTCTTTTCACTTTTTTTATTGTTTTAGTCTTGTGATAGCCAAACTAATAACAAATGGAACATTTACATTTTATGGATTTCATTTTTGTTGTATGGATTTCATCGGATCTTAGGTTTTTCTCATATGCTTAAACGAAAAATAGTCAATGAACTTCGAGTTAAAATTCAATTTTAAAAATGTAGGGAGATTATCAATTTCCACAACAGAGTTGTAATATTCAAAATAAATTGTTCTGAATGCTTTTGCAACAAATTTATTATCATTTTTGTTTATTAAGCCATTGTTGAGAATGAATGCCTTGAGAGTAAGACATCTGGAACTTAAGTTGGCTGAGAAACACTAAGTTGCAAATATCATAGATCCTAGTTAATAGAGGGCTACCTTTACAGTGCATAGCTCTTAGTCTCTAAAGCTCCGGATAAAATCTGTGAATGGCTTTTTGACATGAATTTCCTTTTGACTTGTGTTATTTTGCCGCTCCTCCGTTCTTTGATGCTCGATGCCGTCTTCTCAGAAGGTTGGTAGCTTTTATCTTACCAAAAAGCCACCAAATTCTAAAAATATATTTTTTAATTTTTTTTTTTATATATATTTATTTTTTATTTGGGGTGTTTTTTTTTTAAGTGTTATTATTTGAATAGGTTCTTGAACTAAAACGCGATGCGAGTACGCGGTCAGTTTCGATTTAGCGGGGACCTTTGGACATACGCTTTTTAATGATTTCTACAAAATGAACTTTAAAAAAATTAAAAATTTTTGTAGTTGAATGGTTGAAACGTTTCACAGGCAAGTTTTTCGACTTACTGATAGCTGGTGTACCAAAACTACCTCATAACTTCCACCAAAAAATCAATGTTGAGCAATTTTTTTGCCTTTATTTCTCTTTTGCATAAAATTTATTTAAGTTTCAGCATGACCTCACGCTTGCTGCCATCAGAAAACAAATATTTATCCTCTCGTAGAGGCTTTAGGGTGTATGATGGTATAGCCTGAAGCTGTTTGCAGAGAAGTGCATAGTTCCTCCGTCACTCCTTCGCCAAAAATAAATAAATCAATGAATAAGAATAAAAAAACGATGAAAAAATATCTTAAATTGACTAGAATTTGCTATTTTCATGTTTCTTTTCGCACGCACAATCCTTCCAACATTGCTGCCTGCTGACAGCACGCCGAACATTTGACCATGATATGAGAAGTGTCATGGCCTGGCTTCTCGAGACATTATTTGTTGAGTGTTGGTAGGGTACGATCTTAAAGGGGATTTTTTTTTTCTTTTAATCTGATCCATTAGTTTAATCTTTGTATGTAGAGAGCACCAAACCAATACCAATTTTCTGTACTTTACAATACTCCAAGTGGAATCATTATTAATTCATATCTTTGTCTTCCTTTTTGTTACTCGGCGGGTATTAATTTTATCTTCTCTCACAAAGTAATAACGAAATATCATTTTGACCCAGAAGACTGCCGTTATTTGGAATTCAAGCCCGCTAAAGCATTTGACGGTCAACGCCTGATAAATCACGTGATTCAAATTGATGATGTCAAGGATAAAGTATTGTGTAAGATACGGTGTTTCATGGAGCCAAACTGTGTCAGTTATAATCTCCTTAAACAACCGAGTGGGGACAATGAAACACATAAATGTGAGTTGAATGATGTTACTCACGAAGGAAACATAGACGACCTTGTTGGGGAGTACGATTACTTTTACCACGGATCAGAGGCAAGAGTCACCTTCAAACTTCTAACTGCTTTATACCCTAACATTTTTATGCATATTTCCATAGGATTCTCTGTACATTTCCTAACGTGCGGGCAAGGAGAATTTTTTTTAGCATACAAGGTCTTATTCAGTTGGTGATTATATTTTTTTCTTCTCGTGATTTTAATATGTTATTCAGGGGTGAAACTTTAAAGAGAAATTAGGTTACCTGCCAGTCACTCTCAGGGGCTAAATGGCTAACTAAATCGAAAAAAGGTCTTCAACGAGACACAAACAAGGTTTTGCGCCAATTGCTTTTTCTATTATGCAACGTTGTTGAATTCAACTTCGCAGTGGCTGTCGTAAAAATAAGCATCCACGATTTGAGAATAATAAATTTCCAGTAGCATGCATGTTTTTACTTATCAATGAATCCTGCTGGTTTAGACTATGAAGCAAAACTATTTCATGATATGATTCTGTAAATGTAATACCTAACGACATTTTGTTAGAATTTATGGCTAATTTTTTTTTTTATTTTGTGTTTTTTGCTTTTGTGTGTTGTTTTTGTTTTTTTTTGTTTCTTTGCTTTGCCTTTTTTTGTTTTTTGTTTGTTTATTTGTTTGTCTTTTTATGTCAGAGTAACTGTATAGCAAACCCTTGCAAGAACAACGCGACTTGTCAAAGCGGTTTTACCGACAAAGGTTATCGCTGTTTGTGCTCAGCTGGATTCAAGGGTCAGACTTGTGATGAAGGTAATGCCGTTCTCTAAACGAGTAATTTCCTTTGAGACATTAACACAATTGAACCTAATGTCAACTTAAACACAGCTTTAATGATAATTGGAATCAATATGATCTGATTTCAGATACTAACGAATGTACTACAGAAAATCAAAACTGCAGTGCCGATGTTATTTTTAAAATTACCGTATCGTACAACTGTACATGTAAACCTGGAAATTCCGGAGATATAAGGGATTGCAAAGGCAGATTTCGCTTTTTCGTTGCTTTGAAAAGTGAATATGTTTCTTAGAAATAAAGGGGTGGATTGCAATCCTTCTTGCGGGAATGCATGGCCTGGTTTCCTGACTTTCAGAATTAAAGTTTAACTTAGAAGAACGTTTTTCGTTTTATTGTTTTCTTCTTTGGTTTTAGAAATTCAAATGATTTATTCAGCTGATCTGCTTTCAGTTTAACGCAAAATAACTGAAACGAGAGATTATGTACAAACCTTTTCATTTTGCTTTCCCAAACTATGACAATTTTTTGACAGTTTAATTGTAATTAAACCGAACATGGTGCTACTTCAGATATTAACGAATGTGCTACAGGAGAGGAGAGCTGCAGTGTTGATGCTGTGTGCAACAATACCAAAGGATCTTATGACTGTGAATGTGAACCTGGATTTTCAGTGGATGGATAGACCTGCAAAGATAACACAATGTAATATCGCAGGCTAAATTCAGTGCCAGATAGAGTTTTTGATTACGCATTATCGGCACAATGTCTATGAGAACGGATGCTATTGAAACTTTAAAAGACGACCAATGATATCGTACTCAGATATCACAAAAGGTAAAAGCGGTTCAGAAGAGCACGGCTGCATTGTTCATGCTGTTTTTTGGGAACGCTAAATCTGCACAGGTAGTGCAATCAAATACTGCATGTTGAATTTGTTGTTATATAAATTGTTGTATTCTAAAATTTAGTATCAGTACAGTGTTATGAAAATAAATGCCTTTGGCGTTATAACAGACCAAATACAAACATACATATTCAGATATTGACGAATGTGCTACAGAAGAGCACAGCTGCAGTGCTGATGCTGTGTGCAACAATGCCGAGGGCTCATACAACTGTTCATGTAAACCTGGATACTATGGGGACGGATGGTCTTGCAAAGGTAGTAAAATGAAACAGTGCATTTTGAATCTAGGGCCACATAAGTTGTGGTACTCTGTATTATCGATACAATGTTAGGAAAACAAAATTAATGCTACAGATATTACAACAGATCCATTAATTATGTCTATTTAGATATTGACGAATGTGCTAAACAAGATCACGGCTGCAGTGCTCATGCTGTGTGCAGAAATACCAAGGGATCCCACAACTGCACATGTAAACCTGGATATTCTGGGGATGGACGGACTTGCCAGGGTAATGTAATGAATTATTGCCTGTCAAATTTAGAACCACATATATTGTTGTTTTCTATATTACCAATGCAATGTTATAAAAACAAATGCAAACAGCCATATCAAAGGTCAATGTATGATTGGCATATTTAGATATCGACGAGTGCGCTATAGGAACTCACAGCTGCAGTGCTGATGCTGAGTGCAACAATATCAAGGGATCGCACAACTGTCAATGTAAATCTGGATATTCTGGGAATGGACGCACCTGTACAGGTAATTCAATGGAACATTGCATGTTAGATTTACAGCCAAATGGATTGTTACGTGTAAATATACACATATATATGATCACTATTTTCGAGAGCGACATGCTACTAATTTTGTAAAAGAACGATTGATGATTTGCTTATTCAGATTCCGACGAGTGTCTTACAGGAACACATAACTGCAGCGCTGATGCTGTATGCAACAATACCAAAGGGTCGCACAACTGCACATGTAAACCTGGATATTCTGGTAATGGACGGATATGCAAAGGTAACATTGGCTGTTTCCTTTCTTGTAAATATAAATGCATCCCCGAGTCACATATAGATTTAGACAGGGCTTCAAAAGAAGTTTTGATTCACAAAATTTAATTGATCATAACAACCGAAGCATACGTTTTAGTTTTCTTGCAGTGTCCTACTGGTTGGCACTTTGAACCCTGGGTGCTTAATTCTGGATGCGAGCACTGCTTGTTTATTTTGCCATGTTTCTAGGCTAGTAGAAGGCCCCTTTCCATCTTATTAGGGCGAGTCAACGTTAAGAAGCTCGCCAATGTACTGGTGGAGAACTATGCATTGATCGAAAATCCCATCATGCTACAAATAGAACCAAGATAGGTAGATTATGAAGAGAGTAGAAAACAGACTATTAAAAACAGAATAAAATAAAAACAAACCAACAAACAAAAAGAAAACAAACTTTCGGAGTTATACCCAATAGAAATGGTGGTATTTCGCTTTACTTTGCTTTGTCACAATTTGTCTTTGCTTCAGCTCTAACTCCTTGTTAGTAAAATTCCAAAGCTATTTTCATTGATTTCAATCGTTCTTTAACACACAATAAATGAATAGCATTAAAACAACAAGGAATTTACAATAAATAAAATTATGATAAATAGTTTTCCCGGAGTTTCTATTAGAAATTAGGAGGTCAGAAACGATTTGCTTTCAAAACTATTCAAGAATTTAAGTTCTCATGAAAAAATAAACAAATGTTTTTAGTTGTGTATTTTTATTTTGTTTGTTTTTTGTTTTGTTTTTTTAGAAATGGTAACTCTGCATAAGGCAGAAAAAAGCATGAGCTTTTAAGTCATTACCAAGCATAGAGAATGCAATTACTTCTAACGTACACGCACAAGGAAACGCTTATCTACATAAATTATTCATTTTCATTTTATCGCAAGAGAAGTCTTGTTTTTCCCACTGCCACATGGACAATCGTTAAGTTCTAATGTGTTTTAATCATACTATCCTTTCATCAACCTCGCTCTCAATTTGCGGAAAGTGGTTTTTAAGGATAAATGACTGCATTAGAAAATTTTCCGCTTAATCTTGCAGACTCTAACAAAGCATGTCCACAATTACGGATTATTTTTATCATTATTTACTTACTAATTTATCTGTTTTATCATTAGTAGTTTTTTTTATTTTGCAGCCGTTATATTTTCAAGCTGCAAAGAAGCTTATGACGCGAAATTGTAAGTACGATTAAAGATAAAAGAATGAAAACGATAGACTTGATCTTCTTGATCTCGCAGGAAGACTTATAAATGCCAAAAAGAAGAGCTAGTAGCTACGCAGTCATTTCTTTTTTTTTTTTGATACGCCTGTTAAATTTAGTATTCCCGAGAGTTTATAATCTCATGGTATTCCAAAATGGTGAATGCATGCCACAAGCTTAACTCCTATACTTAATTTTATTAAATCCGATTTTTTCATAGACTAAGCGTAAGTAACGTCGTTACGCTCCATATCGACTCCAAGCCAATTTCCGTTTTCTGTCACGTGGGGGATGTAGGATGTGGAGATGGAATATGGACCCTTGTCATGAAGATTGATGGCAACAAGGTATTTATCTCTTCATTTATTTATATTATTCAATTGTTTTTTTTAAAAGATTTTTGTTTTGGTTTGTGATGAATTTTAGAAAATATTTTCGATACCTAAAGTTTGCTTCTATCATAACCTCACACAACCTCCGCAAGAATGGCTTCTTGTTCGCTTTCATATCTCTATGTCTAACATTTTCTATTTCATTGCAAATAAAATTGTGGCCTTCTCCAGGCCAAATGTGATTTTAATGCGGGTCTAAAGAGGAAATACCAACAAAATGTCTGCAAAATGTAGTTTTTTGCTGATGGTTGTTTTATCGATTTCCCACCGCAAAAAAAGAAAAATAATAATAAAATAAAATATAGAAAAAACCATTCTAGAACTTTTAAAATGTCATACTCGAGGGAACGTTATTTGTGGTATATTTCTATTTCGATATGTTTTTTTTTTATCGTGTTGTGATTCACTCTCTCAAAATGATCAAATTTAATGGGATCTGGAAATCTGTTGGGTTTCCATCTACTTAATATCGGCTCGCATTAATTTTTGGCTGCTTGGTCGTTGGGATTGACATATTTATTTGTCTTTCTTGTTTTTTCAATGGTATTTTCCTTCTTTTCCTGGTCAGGAAACTTTTCATTATAATTCCAATTACTGGAGCAACATGTTAGAATATAACCTTCCTGGAGGAGAGACTGGGTTTGACCAAATGGAGACCAAGTTACCAACTTACTGGAACACATCATTCTCCAAGATCTGTCTTGGTATGAAGATCGACCAACAGCTCAGGTTCATTGCCATCAATAAGCAAGCAGATTCCCTGTACTCGCTGATCGCTGACGGACAATACCGTCCGACTAATTTGGGTCGTGACGCATGGAGGTCCTTGATTGGTCCAAAGGCGTCCTCGCAGATTTACTGCAACAGAGAGGGGTTCAATCTTTACCCATTGAGAGCTTTTTGGGAGTTTAAGGCTCCTATAGCAAGGATCGGTTTTGTAACCAACAATGCAAATAACTGCCAAGATGTTGATTCCAGAATCGGGTTTGGTACAGGAGGGCCACACGATGACACCAACACGTGTGGAATCGTCGCTGACAAAAGCGGTCTTGATAATGGACAGCAGTTCATTAAAGCCATGGGGTATATCTTGGTGCAGTGACGAGCGAAAACTGTAATTATAGTGAGAAACAACGTCAACATCACCAAAAAAATTTAAAAAAGAAATGCATAACTCAATACACGCGTACGCTAACTATCCTTACAGAGTATGATATACAGTGATACATCACTATCGTTTATGCGCAGCAATACTCAAAAGCTTTATCCACAAGAAATGAGGGTATATGTTCTCAGAGAATAATATTTTGGCCGCACGTAGATATGGAATTTCTCTCCTCGTGTTCAACTCGATATCTAGCTCGTTCGCAGCACTCACTCCTGGAATATCGAGTTGAATGCAAGATCTAGTATGAGCCATGTATTATTTCAATCTATTAGATAAACGTCGGAGGCACTTACTGACAAGAAAAGTCGCCGACTTTTTTAATAAAGGGTGGTGGAAAAAAAATCACAATTTGCAGAGTGGCTTGAGGGGCAAGTGACTTGTTAAAAAAAATAGCGAGTGACGAGTTAAAAGTCTTCCCTACCCGACAGAGTCAGTTTGAACCTTTCCATTGATTGAATGCTAAAAATAAAGCATATCGATGGAGAAGAAATGACGCAAAACAGCCTTTTGCACAAGATTGGTCTCCTTTGTTTCAGTCGCCTCTGTATTTCTAGCCATAGAAAGACGGAAGAAAGCGTACTTCGAGGTGAAACAAACAAAGAATATATTTGAATGCCCGTATATATATGATTTCCATCAAGAGCTCGTGGAAAGGGTACAGTGTATATTGAAAATTTTACTTCATAGTGTTACTCTAATTCCTTCGTAAGACCCTCTTTGGCTAAACAAACACTTGTCAACCCGACGAATTCAAAGATTCAAAGACTCAAATTAGAGAAAAATAACATTTTTGACTGACGTATAAAAAGGGCTAAAGGTGAAAAGAAATATATATATTAGCATCGATGTATACAAGTAAAACCGAAACGAAGATTCCCTAATTTTTATAGACCATAGCTTCATTAGGAAGACAGTTGTAACTAAACAAAACAGATGCGTTGCATGATTTAGGAAGCAAGTTAACGGCGAAAGTTGAGATGCGTGTTATTTGTATTAATGGTTGTCTCAAAAATATCCTCTGTTTGTCTTTGTCGTCTAGTTATTTCAATCCTCTTCAAGACAGAGGGGTTTACGTTATAATTCTGGGCACTCAGTAAATGTCTATAAATGCCTCTGTTATAAAGATCGAGTGGAAAAGTACGGTAAAATGGGAAGTTTAACATTTGTTAATGTTTTTGTTTTATTTATGTATTTATTTATTTTTGTAGCTATTATAAAATGTTCAGAGAAATGCGCGCGCCGTGATTGGTCAGATCGAGTTAATTATATTTCCATAAAGCACGCGCCTTAAGTCACAAGAGTGCACTGTTGAGATAGAAGCTTACGTCATCGGTCTGAAGGCGCGCAATTAACGATATATTTTATTAAAAGAAATAAAAAAACTTGTTCCTCGAGCATTGTTGAGTTCTATAAGCACTTGAGAATTTTTAAGAACACTCGAGGGGTGCGAGGGGTGCTTCTCGGCGCTTCCCTCGTGTTCTTAAAAATTCGCGCCTGCTTATAGAACTCAACAATGCACTCCGCTCGTTTTTTATCTCTTTGATAACGTTGTTTTGAAAATGATTTTGGCGAAAAAATAAAAGGCACCAACAGCAATTTTGGAGACAGTGCTGAAATCGAAGAAATATGTTATTCGCCAGCCGGGATGTCCGCCGCCTACGGCCTCGGGCGGTACTCAAGACATCGGGCAAAGTTTTTCCCAATACGGACCAACTTATACTGGTGAATAACATTTTTTTTTCTTTAGGTAGTGACCGACGTCTCTGCTAAAAATACTGCCCAGCCGGAAAAACGAGAGATTTTTTTTTATGAAAAATGGCAGCGAAGGTAGGGACTTACTCGGCGACTCATGAAAGCGTTACCGTTGCCCTTGGGCAGAGATAGGAAAATACGGACCGCGCTAAGAACCAATCAGATTGCACGATTCGTTATCATGCCCTCTAAAAATAAAAAAAAATAATTATCATCATCATCATCGTAGTTTTTGATGTTGTAACTATTACTATCATGATTATCACGATTATCATCAATATTATGTGTCTGTGTAGAGTTGAGGAGAGAAATTTCTCCTGTTAAATTATACGGCCATATAGTGTTGTAATATTTCATATTCCCAGTTCAATGTTCAGGAGGTCAAATGCTATCGACATCCTTCCACGATGTAATGAATAATCTACATATACAGATATCGATGAGTGTTTCATTGGAACACATAACTGCTGTGCTGATTCTGCGTGCAACAATACCAAAGGATCGTGCAACTGCATTTAGGTTAAGGTATTTCTGACGATTTATTTTTTGCCCATGAAAAGGGTTTTGAATCTCCCGAGATTCAGTGTATGGAACCCGATGAACTAACCCTCCTTTTCCGTCATTAATGATGTTACGCTCTTATGAACCACAACGGTTTTGAGTGACAGAGTCGACATTTCCTTGCGACCATCAAATCAACTGGACAAACCCAGCTTGATGTATTGCGTGACGTGATTGTGCAAACTTTCCTCTTTGTCATACGACCTGTTTCGCAGGTTCTACAAGTTGGAACCAAAATTAGTTAATACAACGAATTAGAATCGAAAGTTATTCAAATGGCTGAAGAATTTCACATTTTAATGAGAATTTTATCGTTTAAATGTTTACTTGATTCGTGGAAAGCAAAGATTGGAGTAGCTTCGGGTATTTCGGCCCTGCTTTGGAAAAAATAAAACAGTTTGTGGTATGTTCTAAACACCAGAACACCCGAGAGGACACTGGAAATGTAATAAAGTATTTTTTTGCATCTAGAGAAAAAAAAAAAGAAGGTGAGGCAGTGAAAGGAGACTGAGTTTTCAACGCCAGTTGAACTAAAATTTACCTGGAAGGCATTAACTTTCTTTTGTCGCGAAACTCGTGGATTTTAAAACTTTGAAACGACGTACGATGAATCCTGAAACTGGAGTTTAAGTCCATTGGTAAACTATGCCTGCTGGTCTCACGAGCAGATCAAGCTCTGACGAAATTTAACAGTTTTGAAGTTTTAAGCGGATGCAAAAATCGAGACAAAAATTCGTCATGACACAGTTTGTCCTTTGATTTTGTCAAGAGAATTCTGGTTTTGTCTGCTATTGCAGATAGCCCAGACAGGCAATTACGAACCAATTTTTAGTTAAATAATAGCTTTCACTCTCGAGAAATTGCAAATATATTACCCATGTGATCTGACTACAACTTTAATTCCGAATACTTCAAAAACATCTCCAGTCAGTCTGGCTTTCTTTTACTGCCTCACATTTTCCCTTGTGCTGTGGCTGTTAACAAGTACTTTCACCGCATTTCCAATGTTTCTTAAAGTGTTCGGATGTTTAGAACATACCAATAACTGTAATATTTTTTTCCATATCGTGGTCAAAATGGCCGGAACGAAACAAAATTAACTTGTAATCGAGGATTTCGCTGGATAGCTGGTAGTACTTCAAATAACTCGATACGTCGTCCCGGTGTCACAGCGGATATGGACCCCCCCTTCGCAGATTTGGACTCCCCTACCAAACTTTCCTTTTAAGCATCGTTTGTATCATATTTGGTAACTAATTCTTTTTGCAATGTTTTTGTCGATGTTCTTTTCAATCTCAACACAACATTCCTCAATAAAGGTAAAAAAAAAAACCAAGCCATTTCGTTCCAATTCTGCCGCATTTATTATAGCGAGTCACACAGTATACGCAAGAATTAGATGTGAACAAACTACTGCATTCGAACTATTGAAATTGTTATAATAAATCTTTGCTTCTTCTGATGCGAATCAACATTGATACGATACATTATAACAATAGTGGAGACTACTGCATCCAGTCACAAAAATAACTCAGTCTGATTTTCTAAAATAATAACATTAAACATTTTCTGAGCCAGAACGAAGAACCTACTTTTACTACAAATCTTTCGTAAAGCCTATGATATATAAAAATGTTTCTATTCTGAACTATTGGAACTCTCAGCTTATTTTCAGATGCAAATCAACATTGATGTCTACGTCGTAACAAAAGTGGAGACTATTTCATCGAACTCAATCTTATTTTCTAATTTTAACGATTATTAACCGTTGAGCAATCCGAAATAACACCTTAACAGTTACGAAGACGTCTAGAGTTTGGCGATCTGTAGACAATGCTGAGCCACCCGCCCTCTGGGGCAGTCTTAAATCCCTCGCAGCTCATAAGTAACCATTCCTTTCACAACTCGCACTGTACCATGTCGTCCCAACACTCGGGCATTGAACAATGACAAAATAAATTAGTGTCACAAGTTTGTCTCTTATTGAATCTAGCAGTATTCGATTATCGCGGAAAAGGTTTAAAAACAACCTTTCTCCAAACATCAAACTAAATGCTTGCCCCTTTTCCCTTGGTCAAAAGAAACATCCGACGGGTCATTTCCAGCTGCCAGTTCATATGCATTAACGATACGCATGTTTTAAATTAAAAACACACTTTAGTACACACTGGAACGTAAAGTATCACTCATTTTTACTAGAACGTTAAGGATGATGTTTTCACTCAGTTTTGTTAGGGGGTCCAAATCCGCGGAGGGAGGTCCAAATCCGCTAGGACACCCTGTATTTTAGGAGAGAAATCAGGGCTTAAATACCCAAAGTCACTCCAATCGTTGCTTTCCGTGAATCAAATAAACCTTTTTAAAAGTTAAAATTCTCATTAAAATGTAATTCAGTCCATTTTAATAATTTTCGATTCTAATTCGTTACATTAACTAATTTTGGTTTCAATTTGTAGAACCCGTGAAACAGGCCATATGGCAAGAGGAAAAATTTGCACAATCACGTCACGCAATATATCAAGCTGGGTTTGTCCAGTTGATTTTGATGGTCGCAGGGAAATGTCGAGTTTGTCACTCAAAACCGTTGTGGTCTATAAGTGGTCCAACATCATTAGTGATGGAAACAAACCTGCGGAAAGGAGGGTTAGTTCATCAGGTTCCGTATACTAAATTTCGGGAGAAACTGCAAGAATTATTTCAGAGTGTATGCGCGTTGTTTTGTAAATATAAACACTGTAATCTATTTTAACTTGTTTTTGTGTCCTTTTAGGCGACACGATATGTCTGTTATGACCAGAGTGCCAAATTTTATTCTTTAATTTTGATCTTCTCCACACTGTACGTAGTCCATGACCTGACATTTCAACGTAAATTATCGAGAAGGCGCCTTCCGATTACCTTTGTCTACTTTGCAGGTCACGCAAGCGCGCAAGCGTTACGACCGATCACGTTTACGCAACGTTTTAGGACAACTCGGCATCTAATCTCCATTCAGTTGCTGTGAAAACCTAAAATCCTCAACGTAGAAGATAAACGAACGAAGTTTGAACTCTCAAAAGGAGATCTTAGTCGTTTCTAAGAATCACGCAAATGATATTTGACACGAGCGCAATTGAGCAAACACATGGATTTGCGTTGTTTTTATCAACGTTCCAATGGAATCGGATGGAAAGCTAGAGATGAATACGCGGGTTTGAGTCCATTGAGTACCTCATTGAGGTATAAACTTTCAGCTACATCGATATGCTTTTGCAAGCGTATCGTCGATTAACGCTTGTAATTTGAGAAATAAATCATCGTACAAAATAGTCTTTTTAGTATGCAAATTAAGGTCGCCAACAAAGGAAGGGACCCCATGATCACGCTCCTTCAAAATATTTCGTAAAGTTGACCATATTTTGTCTGTGAAAACTGAATCCTTGTAACCATGCTGAGAAGTTGAGTGAGCTGATCCTTCTTCACTCAAGGAGTCAAAATCTTTGAAATTTACACTTTCGATCGCTGTTCACAGAGGTGGTCTGACTAAAAATCATTTTTGGCTTGTGGCGACGCAAAAAGAGAGAATTGGAGAACAAGTAAACGATTTTTGAAACATGTGCTGATAAATTTCCACAGTTCCCGTTATCTTTTTTTTCCTTTTTTCTGCAGTTGTGGTTTCGAGCTTTAAGGAAGCTTATGACAGACAAGTGCTTTATTTTGAAATACACGACAAAGTTCATCGCGCATCGAGCGTTAAAGATTTCAAGGAAAAAAAAGAGGGGAAAAAATTCTCCTAGTTTAATTCAGCTGTTTTCTTATTGATTTAGCGACTGATTTCTTATTTTTTTTAATTGGTGATCTTCGATAGACTGAGCGTGAGTGGAATCGTTACGCTCCATATCGACTCAATACCAGGCCCGTTTTCTGTGACCTGGGGGATGTAGGATGTGGGAATGGAATATGGACCTCTGTTATGAAGATTGATGGCAACAAGGTCTTTCTTAAGTTTTTTTGTTATGGAAGCTATTAAAATAAGTATTAAAATAAGTAGGTTAATACCTCAAACGCGCCTTTATCTCGCTGGGTTTTCATCCTTTGCATTTGTTTAGCTTTTCTTTCTTTCTTATTTTAATTAAATATTCATTTAGTTGTCTTCCTCAAACTGGAGATAGAATTAGTACAAGTTCGTATCTATTTTTTATGCTATTATTTTCGCCACCCAAAAAAATCAATATTAGGCAATTTTTTTCCAAATAAACATTTTTTGGTTAGTCTTTTTTTCGACGAGATTTGGTCGCTTATTAATAGTTTTGCATTATCCGGAAATAATTTTGCGGGGTTTATGATTTGCAGGGAACAGAAATAGCTTCTTTCTTTTCACTTTTTCATTTTTTTTTTAATAGAAAATGATATTCAACGGTTATAAATATGGATTTCATCGAGTCCCAGATTTTTCTCATATGCTTGAACGAAAAATAGCATCACCAGTACTTATAACTTTTTCGATTATAATGTAAACAATATCATATCGTTTTCAATCAACTTTTGAACTAAATTTCAATTGTAAAAATGCATGGGGATTATCAATTTCCACAACAGACCTGAGATCTTCAAAATATATTGTTCTAAATGCTTTTGAAACAAATCTATTACCATTTTCTTTATTAAGCCGTTGTTAAGAATTAATGCCTTTTGAGTATGACATCTGGAACTTGAGTCAGCTTAAAAACGCTAACAAAGTAAACATCATAGATCCAAGTTCAAGACCAGAGGGCTACATTTACAGTGTATTGCTCCCAGTTTCTACAACGCCGGATAAAATTTGTAAATGGCTTTATGACATGAATTTCCTTTTGATATGTGTTATTTTTCCGCTCCTCTGCGCTGTGATGCTCGACGCTGTCTTCTCAGAAGGTTAGTAGCTTTTGTCTTACTCAGATGCCACAAAACTATGAAAAATGTTTACTGTTTTTTTTTTTTTAAGCGTTATCATTTGAATAGATTCTGGAACTAAAATGCGATGCTATTACGCGGTCTAGTGTTAGTTTCGGTTTAGCGGGGAGCTGTGGATAAACATTTTTTAATTATTTCTACACGAAGAACTTTGTGGAAAAAAATTGAATTTTTTCAGTCGAAGGATTGAAACTTCCTAAAGGCAACTTTTCTGACTTTTTGATTGCTGGTGTGCCAAAACTACCGCGTAACTGCCACCAAAAAAATCGATGTTAAGCAATTTTTTTGCCTTTGTTTCTCTCTTGAGTATAATTTTTAAAGTTCCAATTACATAATTTCAGCATGGGGGCATGGGAAAAATCTCTTCAAGAACACGCTGAAGTTAATATTAGTTTGGCTATCACAAGACTAAAACATGACCAATAGGGGTTTTTATTATTTAGCTGGCAGCGCCCGTGGGCAATATGAAGCGAATGCTGTGTTCTGATTGATACCCGAGTCGGCCTCTCTTGCCCGCTTGGTAAAAAGTGCGTGGAGCGGACTAACAAAGTTCGTAACTTTTGGACAATGTCGGCGATGAAAAAAAGCGGCAGAAGAAAATCAAAAAAAGAAAACATAGAAGACACCCGTGGGTTTATTGTGGTACAAACACAAATGGCATTCTTTCCCGGCTCTCGAAATACAAAAAGGGAACTGTCATTCTTGATTCTTATGAACGCGAAATCTGTTTGCCATATGATAAGTCCTCTATTGATTAAGGTTGTTCAGTTAATATGGCCTCGTTGTTTCCTTGCGTTTTTATAAACTGAGACGAAGAAAACGCAAAAAAAGAACTCGGCCAATATCCAGCCATCTCGACCTCACGCTTGCTGCCATCAGAAAACAAATATCCTTCCTCTTTGAGAAGCTTTCCGATGTATGATGAAATAGCCTTGAACTGTTTGCGGAGAATTGCATATTTCCTCCGCCACTCCTTCGCAAAAAAAAAAAACAAAAACAACGACAACACAAAAAAAATAATGAAAAAATCTCTTTATATGACTAGAATTTGCTATTTTCATGTTTCTGTTCACATACGCAATCCTTGCAACATTGCTACCTGCTGACAACATGCAGAACATTTGACCATGATATGAGACCTGTCATGGCCTGAATTCTAAGCTTCTAAGTAAATTGTTTCATGAGTGTTGTTAGGGTACGGTCTTAAAGGGGACTTTTTATCTTTTAATCTGATCCAAAAGTTTAATATTGATATGTAGAGAGCGCTGAGCCAGTATCTCTTTTCTGTGCTTTACAATACTCCAAGTCAAATTATTATGACTCCATATCTTTGTCTCCCTTTTTATTACTCGGCGGGTATCATCTTCTCTCACAAAGTAATAAGAAATATCATTTTGACCCAGAAAACTGCCGTTATTTGGAATTCAAGCCCACCAAAGCATTTGACGGTCAACGCCTGATAAATCACGTAATTCAAATTGATGTCGTCAAGGATAAAGTATTATGTAAGATACGGTGTTTCATGGAGCCAGATTGTGTCAGTTATAATCTCGAAAAGCAACCGAGTGGGGACAATGGAGCATATAAATGTGAGTTGAATGATGCTACTCACGAAGGAAACGAAGACGACCTTGTTGGGGAGTACGATTACTTTTACCATGGATCAGAGGCAAGTGTCACTTACAAACTTCTTCCAGCCACGATTTGAGAATAACGAGGTTTCCAGTAGCATGCATGTTTTTACTTACCAATCCTGCTGGTTTAGAGTATGGAGAAAAACTATTTCATGATATGTTTCTCTAGATGTCATGTCTAACGACATTTTGTTAGATATTTTGGCTAATTTTTGTTGTTTCCCTTTCTTTTGTTTTGTTTGTTGTTGTTGTTTTTTTTGGCTTTGATTTTTTATTTTTGTTTTGTTGTTTGTTTTTTTCTTTCATGTCAGAGTAACTGTATCGCAAACCCTTGCAAGAACAACGCGACTTGCCAAAGCGGTTTTACCGACAAAGGTTATCGCTGTTTGTGTTCACCTGGATTCAAGGGTCAGATTTGCGATGAAGGTAATGCCATTTTCTAAACGAGTAATTCCCTCTAAGACTTTACTCATAATTGAAACTAATGTAAAATTGAAGACAGTTTCAATGATTATTGAAATCAATATGATCTGATTTCAGATACTGACGAATGTGCTACAAAAAAGCAAAACTGCAGTGCCGATGCTGTTTGCAGAAATACCAAAGTATCGTACAACTGTACATGTAAACCTGGATATTCCAGAGATGGAAGGGATTGCAGAGGTAGATTTTGCTTTTTGGTTACTTTGTACAGTGAATATGTTTCTAGCTTGATAAGAGAAGGCTCACGAGAAGTTTGGAATTAAAGGGATGGATTTCAATCCTTCTTGCACAAGTGCATGGCCTTATTGCCTTACTTTCAATATTAAAGTTGAACGTTTTTCGTGTTAATTGATGTCTTCTTTTATTTTAGAAGTTCAGATGATTTCTTCGGCTATTCTGCTTACAGTTTAAAATCAAATAATTTAGACGAGAGATTATTTGCTCTTCCAAACTATGACAATATTTTGACAGTTTATGGTAATCAAACCAAATATGTTGCAACTCCAGATATTAACGAATGTGCTACAGAAGAGCAGAGCTGCAGTGCTGATGCTGTATGCAACAATACCGAAGGATCTTATGACTGTGAATGTAAACCTGGATTTTCAGGGGATGGATGGACCTGCAAAGGTAAAGCAATGAAATATTTCGGGCTTAATTCAGTGCCAGATAGATTTTTAGATTGCGCATAATGAGTACACTATCTACGAGAACGGATGCTATTGAAACTATAAAAGATCCTACGATATGCGTACCCAGATATCACAAATGATAAAAGTGGTTCAGAAGCGCACGGCTGCATTGCTGATGCTGTTTTTTGGGAAGACTAAACCTGCACAGGTAGTGCAATCAAATACTGCTTGCTGAATGTGTTGTTATATAAATTGTTGTATTCTATAATTTAGTATCAGTGCAATGTTAAGTAAAAAAATGCTATTAACGATATAACAGACCAAATACAAACATGCATATTTAGATATTGACGAATGTGGTACAGAAGAGCACAGCTGCAGTGCTGATGCTGTGTGCAACAATACCGAGGGTTCATACAACTGTTCATGTAAACCTGGATACTCTGGGGACGGATGGTCTTGCAAAGGTAGTAAAATGAAATAGTGTATGTTGAATTTAGGGCCACATAGGCAGTGGTACTCTGTATTATCGATGCAATGTTAAGAAAACAAAATTAATCTACATATACCACAACAGATCCATTAATCATGTCTATTTAGATATTGACGAATGTGCCACCCAAGATCACGGCTGCAGTATTCATGCTGTGTGCAGAAATGCCGAGGGATCCCACAACTGCACATGTAAACCTGGATATTCTTGGGATGGAAGGACTTGCCAAGGTAATGTAATGATTTATTGCCCATCAAATTTAGAACCACATAGATTGTTTTCTATATTACCGATGCACTGTTATAAAAACAAATGCAAAAAGCCATATCAAAGGCTCTTTTATCATTGGCGTATTTAGATATCGACGAGTGTGCTACAGGAACCCACAGCTGCAGTGCTGATGCTGAGTGCAACAATATCAAGGGGTCGCACAACTGTCAATGTAAATCTGGATATTCTGGGAACGGACACACCTGTACTGGTAATCCAATGGAATATTGCATGTTAGATTTACAGCCAAATGGATTTTTACATGCTAATATATATCTGATCAGCATTTTCGAGAGCGACATGCTACTGATTTTGTAAAAGATCGATTGATGATTTGCTTATTCAGATTCCGACGAGTGCCTTACAGGAACACATAACTGCAGCGCTGATGCTGTATGCAACAATACCAAAGGGTCGCACAACTGCACATGTAAACCTGGATATTCTGGTAATGGACAGATATGCAAAGGTAACTTTGGCTGTTTCTTTCCTTGTAGATGTGAATGCTTTCTTCATTAAATCAGTGAGGGGTCACAAATAAATTTAGACAGGGCTTCAAAAGAAGTTTTGAACCACAAAATTTTATGGAATATAACTATCGACCCATACGTTTTAGTTTCCTTACAGTGTCCTACTGATCGGCACTTTGGATTCTGGGTGCTTAGTTCTGGATGTGAGCGCTGCTAGTTTATTTTGCTATGTTTGTGGGCTATTAGAAGGCCCCTTTCCGTCTTATTAGGGCGAGTTAAAATTAAGAAGTTCGCCAATGTAGTGGTGGAAAACTATGCATTACTCGAAAACCCCATCATGCTACAAATAGAACCAAGATAGTTAAGTTCTTATCTGTTTTAATTATACTATCCTTTTATCTACCTCGCTCTCAATTTGCGCAAGGTGATTTTTAAGGATAAATGACTACATTACAAATTTTACCGCGTTATGTTGCAGACTCTAACGAAGCATGTCTACACTTGAGGATCTTTTTATCATTATTTATTTATTCATTTATCTGCTTTATCATAAATAGATTTTTTTTTATTTTTTGCAGCCGTCATGTTTTCAAGCTGCAAAGAAGCTTATGACGCGAAATTGTAAGTACGATTAAAGATAAAAGAATGAAAACGATAGACTTGATCTCCTTGATCTCCTTGATCTCGAAGGAAGACTTATAAATGCCTAGAAAAGAGCAAGTAGCTATCCTGTCATTTCTTATTCTTTTAATACGCCTGTTAAATTTAGTTCTCCCGAGAGTTTATAATCTCGTGGGTTTCCAAAATGGTGGATGCATACCACAAGTTTAACTCCTTTAATTAATTTTCTTAAATCCTATTTTTTTTATAGACTAAGCGTAAGTAACGTCGTCACGCTTCGTATCGACTCAAGGCCAATTTCCGTTTTCTGTCACGTGGGGGATGTAGGATGTGGAGATGGAATATGGACCTCTGTCATGAAGATTGATGGCAACAAGGTATCTATCTCTTCATTTATTTGTATTATTCGATAGTTTTGTGAAAGATTTTTGTTTGGGTTTGTGATGAATTTAAGAAGACATTTTTTGATACCGAAAGTTTGCTTCTGTTATAACCTCATCCAACCTTCGCAAGTATGACTCCTTGTTGGCTTTCATATTACCATGTTTAATCTTTTCTGTCTCATTGCAAATAAAATTGTGGTCTTCTCTTGGCCAAAGGTGATTTTAATGCGGGTCTCATGAGGAAATACCAACAAAATGTCTGCAAAATGTAGTTTTCTGTTGATGGCTATTTTATCGATTTCTAACCGAAAAAAAAAAAAGAAAGAAAATCGTTTTAGAACTTTTAAAAATTCATACTTAATGGAAAGCCGTTTGCGGGTATATTTCTATCGTAATGCGATTCACTGTCTTAACTGATTAGATTTAACTAAATCTGTCGGGTTTCTATCGATTTCATATCGGCTCGCATCAATTTTGGCTGGTTGGTCGTTGGGATTGATATATTTATTTGTCTTTCTTTTTTATTCAATGGTATTTTCCTTCTTTTCCTGGTCAGCGAACTTTTCATTATGATTCCAATTTTTGGAGCAACATGTTAGAATATAACCTTCCTGGAGGAGAGACTGGGTTTGACCAAATAGAGACCAAATTACCGACTTACTGGAACACATCATTCTCCAAGATCTGTCTCGGTATGAAGATTGGCCAACATCTCAGGTTCATTGTCATTAACAAGCGAGCAGATTCCCTGTACTCACTGATCGCCGACGGACAATACCGTCCGACCAATTTGGGTCGTGACGCATGGAGGTCCTTGATTGGCCCAAATGCGTCCACGCAGATTTACTGCAACAAAGAGGGGTTTAATATTTACTCATTGGAAGCTTATTGGAAGTCTAGGACTCCAAAAGCAAGGGTCGGCTTTGTCACCAACAATAGAGATAACTGCCATGATGTTGATGTCAGAATCGGGTTTGGTACAGGAGGGCCACACGATGACACCAACACGTGCGGAATCGTTGCAGACAAAGCCGGTCTTGATAATGGGTCGCAGTTCATTAAAGTCATGGGATACATCTTAATACAGTAACAAGCGAAAAGTACACATGCAATAATAAACAGAATCATCATCACTACCTTCACCAACAAAAATAATGGCGATGGCCAAAATATGGAAGCGTACATTGATACACACTGGTTATCTGTACAAAGTATTAAACACTAATTCAACACTTTCAGTTGTGTAAAGCAATATTAACAAGATGCTGTTACTTGTAATAAGAATATCACCATAATACTAGCATATGTAAATACCAATAACTAGTAACAACTGGAGCAAGATTATTGAATTTCCAGCCTTCTGATTGGCTGAGCGGAGCGTCGTTGTGAGCTTGTAACATAGCTCCGAGCTCATTATCTAACTCCAACAAGTATGGTCGATTGATTCGTCAGCGAATCCAAATAAGAGTTTGTGTAGGCGAGCCGTGAAACAATGGCGGAAAATATATTTTTCCCCGAGAGCTTACAGTTGGAGAAATAACAAGTAAATACAGGGTTCATTAGCTCACAACAGCTTTTCACCAACTTGCATCAACAAAACTGCCATGATAATAACTTCAGTACTTCAAATCCCCAGGGGGAAATTGAAGTTTATTTTTCCTTTTTTTTCTAGTTTTTGATCTTTTTTTCCATTATTAAGAATTTATGCCCCCAGAAGAAGACACCTGGACGTTTTTCTTGGGAGAAACTAGACTCAGTTAATTAACATCGACATAAGTTGACGCGTGCCACGTTCACCGTCAAAAGGCTTTCAGTATCTTCTGTTTAAAAGTGAATATCACTGAAAAAAGCTCCTAATTCTTCATTGAAGAAAATATTTGAAGGATACTGATATTCTAAACAAGTAATTTCTTCAAAAATTAAAGAAAGCCCTGAAGGAACAACCCAAAATAAATCATCTGTCTTTCAGTTCTCTTTCACGCGAATTGTCATAGAATCAACATAAGTAAAGATTATGGCATTTTTTAACAGTTCTTCGTTATTTCACTGTGTAGAGAACAGTGGTGCATCTTGCATGCCAATTCTTCTCATAAGCATTTCGTCTTTCACTGTAAAAACTGAACCGGACTCAACAGGCTCATTTGACATAAGTTATAGTACGGTCCGGTAAGGAGAGTAGGAGGAGAATATGTCACTGGCATGTTTTAAGACGACATGTACTTTATTTAGCACCAGTTTTGAAGCACGCGAGAAAGAAAAAATTTGAATGAATTCTAACAATAAATAAATTCCGGTAATTTTAAAAACTCAGGGCTGAGCATAATGCTGCCTTCATGAAATAGATCACCAATAATCTATCTTTAACGTTTTCTGAATGACCATAAACCAAAAGAGCTTGAGACCATATCCTTTACAGCCGTCTGTCTAACACTAATTATAAACGGACGCATACCGACAGACTACTTGACGAATCATCCTAGAACCCGACTTCCCACAAAGCTACGACTATCAAGACATTGACAAGACGAGCGCAACTTGTTTGCAACATATCGGACAGTTTATCTGACGAAAACAAGTACCTTGACCGTGTTTTTGACAAAAACAACTGCAACACTGACTTCATTAGACGAAACACTCACAGGGTGACCGACACTACAGGAACTAACAGGGACTCCACATCTGTCACGACTACAGCTACTATACCCTACAACAAAGGCACTTCTGAGGCTATCGTGCGGATCCTACAACCTTACAACATTCGCGTGGCTCACAAGCCTATTACTACTTTACGACATTTACTGACCAACGTTAAAGACAAAGACGAACCCAACAACAGACAGGGAGCGATTTATAAGATCGAATGCTCCGACTGCCAGGCCTCCTACATTGGTGAGACTGGTAGAAATCTTAACACGCGACTAACTGAACACAAACGAACAACTAGAAATGGTGATGTAAACAATCACATTTCTGAACATTACCGACAAACTAATCACAGAATCGACTGGGACTCTGCTAAATGCTTAACCTACAGTACAAACTATTTTCAACGACTGACTTTGGAAAGCTGGTTTACCAACTTAGAACAGACGCCTCTCAACATATGTCAACAAGTACCAGCACCTTACAAACGACTCATTAACGACGTGAACAAACCGACAAACAGACCGACAAACAACAGACGGATCGAAACCGACCAATGACTGTTAACAAACTCTACACGAGTCTTCCAGCCAATCACATCTCGGCTAAACAGACCAATCACGTTCAACAGACCAGACTTTATAACATCATCGACTGACAACTACTCTTCACTTGACTCTGAAGATGACTTCCGCACAGGTTGTCGAAACGTCAGTCACCAACAACAGTTCTTTTCAGAACTACACTCACCCAGACGATCACACTATACGAACTACTAATTATAAAACAACGTTAATCTTTCAAAATTTCGAAGCAACCATTTTCAATGAATATTTTATAAATATTCTGGTTTGACCTCCACTGTTTTATTTACTGTCCTTCGTTTTCTGTGTGCACACACAAATTTTTCTACTGACAATTAGTATTCAATTCCTCCTGAGGAAGACTACCACTCTTTTTATTTTCTTTTTTAATCACGTACTCGAGACAAAACAAATAGAAAACTTTTGAACGCTAGTAGGCCTCGTAAAGAAAATCTTCAAAGTTGATAAATATTGCATGGCTTTAGTCTTAGAAAGGCGATGCAAAGTAATTTATTCCCTCTATAAATTTATATCATTTTTAATTGCTCCGACTCAGATAAATGCCGCCAATTGGTTTTCAAGTCCGCTAGAGCATTTGATGATCACCGCCTCAGAAATCACGTGTTCGAGTTGACGACGTCAAGAACAATGAATTTTGTGGTATGCTTTGTTACATGGAGCCAAACTGCGTCAGTTAAAATCTCGAAAAGCAACCTAGTGGAAATGATGGAGCACATAAATGTGAACTGAATGATGCTACTCATGAAGAAAACAAAGTAAACCTGATTGCAGACCGAAATTACATTTACCGAGGAGCAGAGGCAAGTACCATTAATAATCATAGATAATTTTTTTGACTTATCAATTTCGCAGAGTGACAAGAATAACCATTTAAGGGTTGCAAGAAATGGTATTATTATGCACGGCATGCAAATTGCATACCCCTATCGAAGTATTTATAATCATCATAATCTTCTATCATCGTCATCTTGAATTACATCATCAACTTTAGTAAAAACTGAATTGAATTTAATGTATCATCGTGATTATCTTTATCATCATTATTAGCATTGTTACAATTATTTTAATTCATTATACATTCAACTCAGTGCTATGTCTTTTCTGATTGCCCTAGGGCGTAAATTGAATATTCAAAATCATTGACTAGGACGTCAAATAGCTGCAGATTATACAATAATCAAGACAAGGACACCCAAGGCCACGGGTAATCATGTCATGTATGACCGCGGTGCATGATTTCTTCGAGTAATCATGTCGAGTTCGGGAGCTTTGCTTAGCTTGTTGTCTGTAAAGAAGCAAAAACATTTTTCCTTGGTAAGGGTTATGAACCTCAGTCTTCGGCGTCGTCTGATAACCCCTGCCTCGACCTTGGCTATTCTGGATATGACAAAAAAAAACTCATCCAGTGATTATTTAATATCGTTATTTCGATTACTGCTTTTGTATGTCAGAGTGCTTGTATCAGGAATCCTTGCAAGAACAACGCCAAATGTCAAAGCGGTTTTACTGACAAGGGTTACCGCTGTATGTGTTCTGATGGATACCAGGGTCAGGCTTGTGATGAAGGTAACACTGTTTACATGAATAGGTAGATTCACAACTTTCAAAAACCTATGTGAAAATTCTAAGACCACTGAAACACAATGGCAGAACTAAAACCATAAAAAAAAAACTCTGGCGTATTTTTAGATATTGACGAATGTGATACAGAAGAGCACAGTTGCAGTGCTGATGCTGTGTGTAACAATACCAGGGGATCGTACAATTGTGATTGTTAACCTGGATATTCTGGGGATGGGAGAACTTGCCAAGGTGAATTTAGCGATATCCTTAGTCATAATCCATAATTTATTTTAGTTCATTCTTAACGCATCACGTGTCTGAATATGCCCCAGCTGAAAAACTAGCGATGGCCTACTCGTTGGAAATTTGTCTCCGGTTGAAGTTCTTTGCTTACGACCTGGCAGGCCTTTGTTGCTGTGTTCTAAGGGAAGACTCTTACTATAATCATTCGAGGGCCCTCTCCATTCAAGAGTATAAGAGAGAACCGGGTACACAACGGTCTAACTTTTACACATGGGTTAACTTTGTAAAAGCTAGGTACCATGATTTGAGGCTGTCATATCCAAGTTGTTTAACAGGACTTGTAGTAAATCAGGCAATCCAGTAAGTCAGGGCGTTTTAGAATCTTATAACTCTTTTGATTAGGCTCAAAACAAAACCAGTGTTTAATCACAAGAATAACCGCTATTAAATAAGGTGTTCGAAAAGTCTTGAGTTCTCTTTACAGATTTCCAAAAGCGATTGCATTCTTCAGCCCATATTTTCCGTGATAGTACTTGTATTCTCTTTTGAGCGGTAAATTGGTGCGCGGCCGGTTAAAGTTGATCTCCGTGCGCATGCCCAACTTGAAATGGCGCATTGGTACCAGCGAGGTACAAAGGGATCCAGGCAAAACGCTGGAATATTTATATTTGACTAGAATCCAGTCATTATACGGAGACTAGGTAAGCCCCAGTAGATGTAAGCCACTCGGCCTTTTAAAGGCTTAATCTAGAATTGTTTGAATTAATTTAGCAAGATATGATGCTATCAAATTCAACATAAGCGTAGCATTCTTATAAACAATTTCGAAGAGCCTCAAATATTTCTCATATTCTCCAACATCCTTTGGAGTCTCTTATGCTTGTAAACCGAAAGAATGTGCGGTGTATTGCTTATTTAGTTTTATCTGCTTCAACTTTACACGTAGTGAAAGTAAGAGTTCAAACGAGCGTAATAACTTTTCTTTATGATCCCATAGGTGTTAGATAGTTCTTATGACTCTCTTTTTTCCTCAGCT